AATACATGAAATTTTTATATATAAATTGTATATTAATTCAATTTATATATATTTATACACACACACACACATATATGTATGTATGTGTGTGTGTGTGTGTGTGTGTATATGTGTATATATATTACATCTTGATATATATAAAAGATGTAATATATATTATATAAATTGTATTAATATATATAGAGCCCTCCATCACCTCTGAGTCTCCTTATTTGTGTTTAAAAATCTGTTTTGCCATTAGAGGACATAAGAGAAGGTTTCAATTAAGGCCTATTTTTGTGTTAACCCTTAATAAAAATCCATTGTAGCAGTGTTTACAAAAAATAAATATGTAGGTTTGTCTGTTTGACCACAGGCTTCCCCTTTAACCCTTCCCTCTTGGGTGTGTAGCCTTTGGGTAAATGTGAAAAATGGTCCCTTGACTTTGCTGAGATTACTCACTCAAGATGTCTCAAGTGGACAGGTGATGCAAACATTCTACTTTAATATGAGAAACAATTCCCTAACATTTTTTTATAAATTAACATGCAGGCTCTTAGAGAAAGCCAGGGAATTTCCTCAGATCCTGCATGAAGAGAGGAAGGGGGAACCAATACTTTCCCTTGAACTAACATTGGACATTCATTTCTCTTTAGTCAAAGTTCATGTCTCCTGTACCGGCTTGGAGCAGAAGTACTGAATTAAGTGGCAATCCCCATATAAAATGAGCCAAACTGGAGATTAAGTTTAGGTACATTAGGATCCCTGCATCCATGGGGTATTCCAAGGCCCCACGCGGATGCTGAAAAATGCAGAATGTTATTTTAATAGCAAAAGCTATACCTATCTTAGTCTCTGGATTCATCTGGTCACCAGTTCTGATAATGACATTGTGGAAATCAATGTTTTAGCGAATGATATACAGTACTTAGCATGGTCTTTGGTTCCCCCTAGTGTCATGTTTTGGTAATTTCATCATTAAAATACATATTTTGGGGGGATTTTCTTTTAATATTTTTAGTATTTTCAGACTGTTGATGAGTGAATCGGTGGATACTGATCCTGAAGATAAGGGAGTCTTACTATAATGCACTGAAGGAAACAGTTGAAACTAGATCATGGTGTCATCTAATACAGTGGTTCTTAACCTTTGTTACTCAGATGCTTTTGAACTGCAACTCCCAGAAACCCCAGTCAGCACAGCTGGTGGTGGAGGCTTCTGGGAGTTGCAGTCCAAAACTGCTGAGTAACCCAAGGTTAAGAACCAGTGATCTAATACAGTATTTGCAGAAAGATGCAGTCTTCATTGTAATGCAGTTCCTTTTTACAGTTTGATAATTAATTGCAAGACTGTTTTTATTATTTGCAAGAATATTGTATTATTTGGAAAGAATCTGATAGTCAGAAATAAAGACTGTGTTTTCTATATATGCAGTTCTAGAACCTAAACTTTTAATATGTAGAATTTATTCTCAATAGTTTATGCTGCCCTGATTTTAGGTCTAGAATAGGACTTAAGAACTACAAGAATCCATCAACTGACCTTACTGAACAAACATATATATATATACACACACACACACACTTGATCTGATGCTGTCAATACCTTGCTTAAGAGTTTTCTCTTACGCTGTCCTGCTTATCTATTGTAATGTTAATTCCCAGCTTTCTGGACCAGCCCCAACCCATCTCTTGCAAGGCACAATCATAGTGCTTTCCTGAGAATCGAAAGGTGAAGGTACATCATAGGTTTTAAGGCCCACTGGAAAGTTTTGTCCATCTAAAAATGCATCTATTTCCAACCCGTTTTTAAAAGTAATAATTTTGACTGTTATTCAGTTCAGAGTGGGGTAAACATCTGTGACCTTGAAGGTGTTTTTGACTTGCCACTCCCATTATCCTAAGGCCAACATAACCAGTAGTGAGGGATTATGGGACTTTCAGATGGATGTGGAGAGGCGCCATTTGCCCACATCTAGAATAAGAAATGTGAATTTCATGAAACAATTTTGTAGCCATAAAAGCTATGGAACCCTCAAAAGAATACTTGACACATACATCAAACATGCAATGTTTTCTATAGAAATGGTCTAGTAATATTTCATCAAGCCTCAACTAGATTATTGTTCTATTCCAGTACCTTTTCTTTTGCATCAAAATGGTACATGGTTGAAGCACATGCTCTTTTGTGTGGACGTATGTCTGAGTATGAAATCTTTAGACT